AAGGGCCTACTCCGGGTCCTAGAAAAAGTTAAAGTCCTAAGAGCCGGCTAGAAAGACGCCAAGATCATCAGGTAAAAGCCCTAGAGCGGTTTGGGTTTAGGGTTTAGGGTTTAGGGTTTAGAGCGCCTGTATAAGCAAAGCATGGCGAAGGTCTAAGGGCTTTAGGAGGGACCCTTAATAGAGACCTTGGTAGGTTATTGGGGTTAATATGGGGACTACCCAGAGACTCCAATACCCCTTAATTAAGGAATATACCTTAAGTTATAGTAGGATCCTTAATATGATGTAAGATATATTCCTTAATTAAGGGGTAGTGAAGTTTCTGGGTACGTGGCTATATAAGGGGTATATAAGGACTAGACAATGGTTATTTAAGGTAATGGGATAAAGGGTCCCTATTAGGGGTCCCTCCTAAAGTCCTTAGAGAAGGAGTTTGAGCGCAGCTCCTGGGTCCTCAATGGGTCCCTTGAGGGGGTGGGGTCTCGGGATTAATCTACAGGTTTAGGGTTTAGGACTTCAGGTTGCTGTAAGGGTTGTTTGAATTAATGGCTACCATAAAGGCTGTCGTACGGGCTTTAGGGTTAAGGGCTTCCGTCAAGGTTCAAAGAAGGTTCGCCCTTTCGTGTAGCCCCAACCGATTTTGATTTGGAGGTTAAAACTCCTAAGCCGGCAGGTATGCGGAGCCACAGGTATATTTGGTAGGATGAACAATGTTTTAACCCAAAAAACACTACCCTGAACCCTAAACCCCCAAAGCCACAACCCTAAACTCAAAACCCCTACCTTAACAACCCAAAACCTACTTTTTTGTAGGGTCCCTGTAAATCCCATATTAAGGTATATAATAAGAACCGACGAAAAATGGGTTTTGGGTTCTTAAGGTAAACCCAAATCACACAGGTTACCTGCTCAACTACGAGGTTCCTACCCGACACGAACCCTCCCTGGTACGTGGCCCTTCACAATTAGGGTACCCTTTTTAGGGTTTAGGGTTTAGGGCTTTAGGGCTTTAGGGTTTAGGGTTTAGGGTTTAAGATTAGGGTACCCTTTTTCACGCCTAAACTTAAACCCTCAACCCTTGACCCAAAACCCTAAACCCTAAGGTTTAGAGCATAAAGTTTGGCAAAAGGGTACCACTCAGGAACCTCCCACACGCACCCTGTTTCACTTGCACTTCGGGTTCTTCCCAGGGCTTTTGTAGCTTTCATGAACTTTCGTTTATGGGCTTCGGGTTTAGAAGGGGCTTATATTTATGCAATGACTTTCACGGACTTTCGGTCTAGGATTTAGGGGTTTTATAACTTTCCGATTAGGGTTGGGTGCTTAGAGCCGTAGATCCGAAACGATAACTTAGAATCCTCGGTAGCGGCGCTTCAGGGTTTTGGGGCTTAGGGGTTTAGGGTTGAGGGTTTAGGGTGGCGCTTCAGGGATTTTTTCGGGGGTTAGGGGTTTAGGGTAGAGGTGGCGCTTCAGGGTCTCGGGGCTTAGGGGTCTGCTTGTTAAGCAGAGTTATAAGTATCGTGCCAGGGCTTATTTATAATTAATGATAAGTATGGTTGCCTTATTCATAACCTTGGTTACTGCATCCCATGATCCCTTAAGTAGGGTTCTCCAAGTAGGCTGGGGCAAAAGCCTATAGACTTGGGGGCTCGCTGGAGGAGAGCAATGCGTGGTTCGTGGCAGATCACGAGCCCCCATCACCATCAAAATGTACAGAGATTGCTGGCAAAGGCCGAAAACGACCCTCCTCCACCGTGGAGATGAAGCACCTGCTTCGACCAGATGGTGAGGTAGGGTTCTGCAGGGATTTATGCTACTGACACGGCACCTGGCATCTCGGCGCAACCACCAATCACATTGGGACCTTGCTACCTCGCCTGCCTCGTGAGTCACACTTCTGACATGCTCACAGGCCATTTGGGGCAGCAGGCGCTGGCAGCTCGGCGAAACACCAAGCACACTGGGCCCGTGCGGCGTACACCCAAACCCTAAACCCTAAACCCTAAACCCTAAACCACACGTTGCATTTGGAGCCACGCCAGCTTCTGGAGCTCCCGGAAGTTCATCGCGACGTGCCATCGCTGTGGCAGTCTAGAGCTGGTACACCTTGTGTAGTTGCGGCTCGTGGTGACCACCCGCCCGAAAATCACGTGCATGGGCTGATGCCATGAAAATACTCATAGGCCCCATAGTAGTTCCTTTTGGGGATTACCTTATAGAATTCTAAATCAAAAAGGAACTACTATGGGGTCTATGGGTAAAGTTGCTCGCGAAGACAATGAACCTGTCCGACGCGGGCGTGGCTTCGCTGCTATCAAGTCGCATGGAAAGTACTATGAGTCCCCTGACCATGATACGTAAAACTCAGAAAAGTACAGGCATTGGGGTGATGTACCACAATCACAGAGACGCGATAGGGGGAACCATATTAATTACCAATGGTTCATATCTCCAAACTACCATATTAAGAAACGAAGATTTCAACATCGCATCTACCCCAAAACAACCGGGCGGATCCGTGTCGAGCAAAAAAACCTGTCATTCCACTCTACACTCTTATGTCAGAAACCACCTACCATACCTGCACTAGCGTAAACCCCAGACCCCAAAACGCTGGATCGTAGAGTACGGCCCTGTAACCAATAAACCCTAAACCCTAAACCCACTAGGCCCCTTGGGGCCCTGGCCAATACTCGCCAGTTTCATGCTTCTCCTGAACAGCAGGATGCAAGCGATTTCTCTAAGTTTGAAACCATGGGCCCCTAGTATGGGCCCTTAAGCCTGGGATCCTTATATACCTATAGAATCCCCGAAGGGTCCATATTGGGGGCCCATACTTCCAACCTTAGATAGCTACCCATAGGCCCCATAGTAGTTCCTTTTTGGGGTGGATATTTAGAATGCTATAAAGTAATCCCAAAAAGGAACCACTATGGGGCCTATGGGTAGGTAGTAGGTTCCTTACAATACGGACCACAGATGTCTGAGCAATTAGGAACAGTATCCTCTTGTACCAGCATATACCCTATGTCTAGCGATTACGGCATCTGCCCTAAACCCTAAACCCTAAACCCTAAAACGACCCTACTACACGAAACTCGCAGTATACCTTCAAAGGAATCCTGGGAGCTAGGATTCGCGGAACTTTGGGGATATACCCTCTCATTAAGGTGCCTCTTAAGCGAGCCGTAAGTAGGGTTAAGAAGGGTTCACTTTAAGGGTTCTCCTTGACCCTAAACCCAAAACCCTAAACCCTAAAGCGTTAACACTACCTAGGAAATCCTATTCGAGCTTCCCTTGGCTGACTTCTGAACCTCTCCGGAAAGTTAGACTTTTAGCCTACTGATTATGGTTCATATATAAAATTATAAAACCCAAAAGGTTAAGCTATACTGAACTTAGACCCCTAGCAAAATTATCCTTTTAGCTGCTTCTTAGGGTTTATAGTAACCAAAGATTAAAAATTACTTCCAAGTACCCCTAAGTAAGGTCCTACGAGCCAACCAGAAGAACGCCAATCCCTATACTGAACCGACAAGGCGAAGCCCTCGATTCTAGGCACTTCTGGCTTCGGGCTCCTTGGACGTATCTTAAATATTATAGAATTTACAAGGACCCTACAAAAAAGGTTTGGTTCTTCGGGTACGAAACGGTTGAAGTTCGGGGTTTAGGGTGTGGAGCTGAGGGTTAGGGTTGAGGGCTCAGGGCTAAACCCTAAACCCTAAACCCGAAAACCCTATAGCCCTAAACCCTAAACCCTAAACCCTAAACCCTAAAACCCTAGAGCCCTAAAACCCTAAACCCTAAACCCTAAAACCCTAAAGCCCTAAAATCCTAAAACCCTAAACCCTAACCCCAAACCCTAAACCCTAAAGCCTAAGCTCCTAAACCCTAAAACCCCAAAGGGGAAGCCGAGGAATGGCAGAAAGCCTTCAGCCTGTTCTCGGCATCCTGGCGCAAGA